GATATGTGTTCATTATCAATCCTCCCTCAGTGCCAGGCCCAGTGCCTTTGACATAGCAGGTAGTCAAGGAAGTTGTTGAATGAATGAAGCAGTAAGTTAAGTAATGAGTGACTGTATAATGACACATTTTTATACAGTTTTCTGTCTGTGCCCTATCTGTGTCTGACTTGACCACTACATCATCGTCAAGTTCCATTGTCACCTACAATTATGAATTAAAAGCAAAAATTAAATTCTCAGGTTTGGTGTGTTTTTTTAAAGTAAAGGTCCCTTAACTTTCTTCCAGTTGACTATGCCAAGCTTCTTCCTTATATGTGGGCCTCATTAGAGCTTTTAAAACTAGCTCCTTACCTTTTTCCTTTTAAACTCTCTGTTTTGACGTCATTTCAGATTCACATGCAGTTGTAAGAAGTAATACAGAGAAATCCTGTGTACCCTTCACCCAGTTTTTTCCAATGTTAACAGTTCATAAGTATAATATCACAACCAGGAAATATTGATTGATTTCTACCTGTGTGTGAGTGTGTGAGTGTGTGTGTGGTGTGTGTGTGTACATTAATGATACAGATTCTTTCAAAGCCAATAATCATCATAGCTTCAAAAAACTTTGCCTTTAAAATAGTTCTCTCTCATTTAAGTAAGTCATTTCGAAAGCATTTTTCTTATTTATGTTTTCTGTATTTGGAGTATTCAGTGTGCCTGCCTGTTTTCAAGGTCATAAGGTGTACTTATGAGCACACTTACTCTGCAAGTGAACTAGTAGCACTGTGGTTGAAATTGTACTGCCTTTTCCCACCTCCCCTCCCCCACCACTTTGAGTAAACAGGTATATACACACACACACACACAGATTTTCTGCTGCTTGCCTTTTTTATGCCCGAGTACCTTGCTGACAAGTGCTAATAACAAAATACCAGAGAGAGTCCAGTTGAAGTTAGCATACATTAAACATTCTGAACTTGTCCTTTTGCTCATAGATTGTGCATAATTAATAATTAAACAGTTTCAGTTGTAATGGGTTGACCTTCCTGAACTGTTCATTATTCACAAGGCAAAGGCATCACTCAAACTTTTTTCCCATTGTCCTTCGCTGCTCTCTGCATGCCGCCTGCTTGTGTTCCTGTTGTTTAGCAAAAGGGGCTGACCAGGTAGTTACTGGGGCCTCAGAGACTTGGAGACGGTTCTCCTGATGGCCAGGATTGCTTACTGAAGTGGTTCGTAACAGCTGTTTGTATGTTACAGTTGCTGCTCCATGTCAAGATCCAGCTCGTGTCCCTTTAGCAGGACTCTGCAGTGGATTTGGGACTAGAGCTCAGGTTAAGGCTTTTGGTTAAGGTCGTGTCCGCTGTTTTGCTCCATACCTCCATGCTTAGATGCTAAATGAATAGCAGCCCCAAAAAAGCCCTTAAGGTGAAGTATGGCACCCAGGGTCTTAAAATGAGTGACTTTTATTAACAATTTGGAGTCCGTTTCAGCCAGCCCTGAGTTATTAGTGTAACTGCTTCTCCAATTTGTGCTTATATTTTTGAAATATGTCCTTCATCTGGCCTGAACCCGTATTTCACAGCGGGCAGTTCTGATAAGGAGCAGCCACCAGCTTACTAGCTCCTCCCAGCCTGTGGCACGGTTCTCGGTCTCCCCCAGCCCTGGGTGCCTGGGTGCTTTCCCTCCTTGGGAGCCTCTGTGAGGCTGCAGCCGCTTTCCCATGAGCCTCCCTACCTCCTTCAGACAGATGTGAATTACATAACAAAAGGGGCAGCTTCTTGGAGGTGTTTATCTCCTGATCTAAACTAACTTCTCATTTCACTTGCTTAAAAATGAGAAAAGTATCCTTTACAGTCCTCCAGCGGTGTGTGCTGGGGGCCAACCCCAGTGGTCCAGGGGTTCCCAAAGGTGTGGATGGACTCGGCAAAGAATGTCTTACACAGAGACAGCTCAAAGTTACACTGTTCTTGTGAGTTACACTTGTTTTTGTCCTTGTTCTTGCTACACTTCCCTCAGCCCATTAGCTCCCCAGATAAGATCTAGGGAGTATTACAAGGTCAAGCCTAATTATGCTAAGAGGACTGTGCCCTCTAAGCTGGGAATTGTTTGTGACTTTGCCCACAGGTCAGTCCGAGGCTTAACCAACCCTATATCGGCTCCCCACAAGTGTGCATGCTGTGAGCTCTTTATTTTCTTCCTTGGGGAGCGTTAACAGCTCGCATGCTTCTGTGGCGTGGGGGGCCCTCAGAGGACCCCTCTGCCCTGTGTTTCTGCCCTGACCACCATCACCTTATGTGTCTGTCTTCTGTATCTCAGAAAATTCTCCTTTGCGGTATGCAAGAGACATGGATTTTAAAATGAAAATAAATATCTGGCATTATGCATGTGGGATTAGAATCCCCCCCTGTATCTTTAATGAGTGATTCTTTCCAGGCACCAGTGAGATGAGACTCCACCCTTGGTGGGTCTGCAAAGTCTACGTGGGCTGGCATTTTCACAAGTAAAATATATTATTCATGGTACCACCCAGTGTTCCTTAGTTTTATGTTATGAGGAACTTAACAGGCTACAATATCAGGTCTTAAATAAAATTAACTATCCATGCAAAGATGTCACATCTCATTTTGTTCCTCATCCATGTTAAAATGACATCTTCATCAAGTTGCCTAGTTTATAAATCATTAATTTACTCTTGGTATCATACTTTGAAACGAGGCCCACATTAGCATCATGTTTTATATACCAAGATCTTTTTAGAAAACCAGCCCAGAATTTTAACCATCTTGGTAAATGTTCAGCCACATTAAGACAGTGGGCTTTTATTTTCCTAAATATTGCATTTTAAAGCAGCTGTTACTCAGACACTTCCAGTACCACAGCCTCCAAAAATATTTCTGGAACGAATGACTTAGAGAACTAACAACCTGATCAGAGTCCATAATTTTTGTACCTCAGACTTTGAACTATCTTTGCACTAACAGTTCTTGAGACAGTAAAACGTCATTTCTTGAACTGGGCCTTGTAGAACCTTGCAGGCTTGGTGATATATGTGGCTTTCCTAAAACAGGCTGGGCTGAAATTGATATCATGGTTTATTTTTGCTCTTCAAACCGATGGGACTTCTGTGACCATTTTATAGTACCTTTATCGAAGACTTGTCATCTCGCAGCCTGCCTTGTTTCTTTTGAGCAGACGATTTCATCAGCCCCCCATTTTTCATGTCCTCTCTGTGTAATGCCAGCACGTAATCCTTTGAACTTGGCAAGATTTTATTTCACTCCCATTTTCCTTTGTTTTCCTTTCCTCTTGGAAGCCTTTCTCTACTGATGAGAATTTTAAGTTTACAATGACTCGCCTTCCCCTCCTCTGAGTGAATAGAGCACATTCAAAGGGGACAGACAGGCAAAAGCTAAGAAACATTTTGTTCACATTCCTTTTCCTTTAACCTCTTTGGGATTTTTGATTTTTGATTTTTGGCTGCTTTGACCCCCTCAGTTCCTTTTGATTCAATTGTATCTTCCAGTAGTTTCCAATTGTTTGAATTGGAAACAAAGCCTTAATAAGAGTTCTAGTTAATTTTCTGTCTTGTAATTACCAATCTCATTTTTCTGATAATTGGCCACAGCAATTATATGTATATTTACTAATCACAGAGGGGGCTGTGTGATTGTATCTATCTGCCGCCATTGATAATGACACACATATTGCCGAGGTGCTTTTATCATCTTCTCTTTTCCACTACATCAAAGCCATTTCCTCTCGTTCTCAGTAATGAATACATGCATGCATTTGACACAGTTGTGTGCTAGAGAAATTGTTTGGCTCCCACCAAATGCTGCATGCTCTGAGTTTCTTGCCTGCAGCGCTAGAAGGTTGTATGTAATGATATATTGCTCATCCAAATGGCCAAAGCACTCCAAAGCACAGTGAGATTAAAATAAGTCATTCCTTTGTTAATTTAAATAGGTGCATGTATCATACTTTGCAGGGCACTTTGTGTAGGGATGTCAGGGAGGAAAGAAAGCCGCCGAAAGGTATTTTTAATAGCAAATGAGAATAGATGAGAATGGAGTCATTTGCAGCTGCCTACTTTATGTGGTTCTCTTGTTCCAACTGTAGGTCTAATGAGATGACTGTTAAAGTACTCTGCAGTGTAATTTCATTACATCCTGAGCCGTTACACTATAAACACAGTGGCGCTCTCTGTCATTCTTGGAAAAACTCCTAAATTCTTAAAGCCTTCCTTTGCGAGTGGTAATGGGGTTTGCTCCCTGTGTTAAGCCGTGGTTGTCACGCATTTGTTGCTGTGTAGTTATCTGCTCCTTAGAGTGACACCACCGTGGTCCACCCCAGTTCAGTGTGGTGGTCAAGGTGGGAATTTTTCTTTATGCCTTTAATTCACTGGCTTTCTCATCTGATGAGTTGGCTTAGGCTGGCAAATAGGCTGAAATTATTTTTCAGGAAAGCTTTTCCTACAGAAGCCTTTCTAGTAAAGTTTAAAAAAAAAAATCTGGCCCAAATGATTGTGTTAGGGGCAAGCAGTTAAGAGCAGTTGAATATACAAATGAATGTAAATGAAAAGGAAAGTGTAAATAAGTAGCAAATCCAGTAAAAGAAACAAAGGTCAACACAAGAATAATTTCACAGCTCTTTGTTAATTACAAGACCATTTGTGTTACTTAAATAATCATTAATTTCTCATTTACACTTCCGTACCTTCTTGCCTACCCTGTGGCTATCATTGTCCTTTTTTCACCTCCCCTCCCTCTTTGTGCTCCTGTTTCTCACCGTTTTAAATGTGTGTGGCTTTAAATTTGGCATTTTACATAAGCAAGTGAAAGGGGGTAGGGCAAGCTTTTTAATTGGATGAGGCCTTGTTTTCCTTTCCACGGGTGGGGAATCCTTGTTATATACTCATCTTTATACTCATCTGTTCCTTTGGTGGGGGAGGAAGGGTATAAAGAAAGGAAAGGAATTATTGTGACTTTTGGTGACTTGTTTTTCCTCCATCCCAGGATTCGCCTGTCCTTCCGGTTGGAGAGTTCTCCGAGCCATTTGTACATTTCATCACTCAGTGGTGAGCCTGTTTGCAAACATGCCATGCCCTCAATGTAAATGATACATGCCATTAACTCGGAGGCTCCGTGAGACCTTATGGCTTCTCCCTGTTTCATTTTAGAGATGGGAGGGACTTCAGGGCCTTGGGCAGATGGGGCGGCAAAGCTGAAGAAATTGTTTAAATTATGTAAACGTTATTTACACAAAGGGTTGTAAATGTATTTCAGAGGCTTTTTCTGTTTTAACAAACTGCTGAGATTCAGGCTACTTCTTTGAGCCCAGATACTATTGCTAGCCACTTTTTTTTTTTTAAGAAATACACAGTTTTATAACCCCTATTGAACAGACATATGAAGCTTATTTTTATTAATGTAACCTCAAGTTACCCATAAAACTGTCTGTCACTTAGTGGAAGCAGCATAGTTTATGAATTCATTGGATTTCCAGTAAATAACCTTTATCTTTGGTTATATTTTAAACACAATACTGGTGCCCGTTTCAATGAATTTTGATGCTTGAAAGACTGAAAACATGGTTCTATCAGGTCCACTTTCAGCGTCAAGGAACTAAGAAGAACCACAGAATGTAGATCAAAGGGGTCCTCGGGGTCTCCAGGCAGCCCCTTGCCCACCCTGTCATTTTACACCCGAGGAAACAGGCATTTTTCAGCTTCTGCCTTTTCCTCCCAGGAGAATGTTTTCCTTTATTAGCCCCTCACATCATCCACCTCTCCCTGACCCGTTCGGCAGCACTTACGTGGCCTTGGAAGACCCAGCTGTCCACTGCCTCCTGGTGCCCTCTTCCTGCCCCCAGCATGGAGAGGAGGAAATTGGGAGCAGAGGAACGACCACCCCAAAACAGGAGACAGAGCCAGCTAGAGCCTGGTCTGGACATGCTGGAGCTCCTTCACAACTACCCTCACTTCTCCTCCCCTCACCCCGCTCCTTACTCCATCAGCCCTTCAGCGTGGTGTCCACTGGTGGACAATGAGCCCTCCACTCCTGCGGTGCCTCGGAACGTGCGATCGGGAGGCCTCGCTAAACTGAAATGGTTGCACTGTCCCCATCCCTTCCCCCCATGATCCATCTGGTGATTACGCTAAAGTGAAACCAAGAAATATTCCTTAATATAAATGTCAAGCTTTATCACCTTTTTGACTAAGTGTAATATGTTACCTCTTAATAAAAATGTCTCATACAGTTGATATTTCACAGAAAAAAAAAATGTAGAGAAGATATTCCCCCTCCCCTTATTTTTACAATTTTATTAACACTGTTTCTATTTATTTTAAATACTTACATAATAATCCGTCGCTTTTAAAAACTGTTTTCACTCTGCAAGCAATTTTTTCCAAAGCATGCCATCTTGAAAAAGGATACATGTTGGTTAATATTAGAGCTATTAGTCAGAAATATTTTTAGTCTTTCTTAATTTCCTTCTCATGGAATTCCTAGAAACACTCAGAAGCACATATGGGAATGCCCCATTTTGAAATGCAGAAATTGGAAAACAACCCGTGCGATTCCGAAACAGCCTGGAGCGCCTGGTTTGGGCATCACTGTCTCCGGAAACGGGTTTCCTTGGATTTGTGACGGGATGACCATGCTTATCTCTAGCTCACTGTGTGGGCTGAGACCAACCTGGGGGTGGGGCCAGCTCTGCAGACAGGGAAAAAAGCAGATACTATTTTTGCCTTCCCTCCCGTCCCAAAAATTAATCAGCTGCTATGTAAAAGTTTTATGGAGACAGAGGGAGGGATAACCTGTGCAGAAATCTCCACACATGTCACGCTGAAACCGAAATGATAATGGGCAATAGCCTTGTTTTCCCAGGAGATACAGCTACTTTGGAATGTCAGATTAGGGCTGTTCCCAACTCCACTGGAGAGACAGCTTGAATTACTTGCTAATGGATGCAGTGTTTGAGAGGTGCATATGGTTATTTATAGGGGAGGCAAATGTCCTTGATGCCATTAATGGCTCATAACTACGGTTCTTGTTTACCAAATGATCATTAAATCTCTCTACTTAAAAAAAATACTGTCAGCAATTGCAGAGATTGTATGAAGGTTAGAGGTTGCCTTATATAAAGAAAAACCATCTGTGTGATTTTCCCGTAGAAGCAGTAATCTGTCTTCATGACTTCAGCCCACAGACACTCTGAGTTTTGTATAAATACAGTTGTCTCGTGCTGGTGCTTTATCATGTAGCTGAGTACACACTACAGCTACTAATTGTACCTATTGCACTAAGACAAGAAATATTTTACATGAGGAATGTGATTCTTTAAGCAGCTTAATCAAACTTAACTTTTTCTACAGCTGTTTAATGAATTGGCAACTTGATTGTAGCCAAAATAAATGAAAGTTGAGATAATGTAATATTAACCCATTTATAATTTTGTAGCATTATCTAGATTCCTGACCTCTTTTATTTATTATTTGGAGTAACAATGATGACATGAGATATTTTCTCATTTGAGCTGATAGTCATGTTTCTTTTATTATCTTATCCCAATTACCAAAAAGTATATTGTTCCCTAAATTTAAGTTTGAAATAAATTGACAACTGAATCAGGAAGAAAATATTGCTTTTTTTCACATTAGTTTCAAAAGTAGAATTAAGATAAATTTAAATTCATTCTTTACCTGTTTTGCAAGAGTAATTTTAAAAATTTGTGTGTGTGTGTGTGTGTGTGTTTCTGATTCTTGAGAACCCCCAAAATCTGATTAATGAAAGGCCAAAGTAAAGGAAAAGGAATACACAGGCATTGCTCGGAGATATTGCAGGTTCGGTTCCAAACCACGGTAATGAAGCAAATATCACAATAAAGCAAGTCGTAATCTTTGCTAGTGGAGGGTCTTGCCTTCAATTTATAAAAAATGCAACATCTGCCCTGACCGGTTTGGCTCAGTGGATAGAGCGTCGGCCTGCGGACTGAAAGGTCCCAGGTTGAACCTGGGACCCTTCAGTCCGCAGGCCGACGCTCTATCCACTGAGCCAAACCGGTCCTGGCGAAAGGTCCCAGGTTTGATTCCAGTCAAGGGCATGTACCTTGGTTGCAGGCACATCCCCAGTGGAGGGTGTGCAGGAGGCAGCTGATTGATGTTTCTCTCTCATCAATGTTTCTGACTCTCTATCTCTCTCCCTTCCTCTCTGTAAAAAATCTATAAAATATATTTTTTAAAAAATGCAACATCTGTGAAAGCACATTAAACGAGATGTGTCTGTACCTTGGCCAAGAATTGAACATGATAACACCCCAGATCCAGGGGAAATAGTCAGTAGTGGGAATTATAGCACAAATTTACAAGTGATATAAATAATAGGCGTTTTGTTTTTCTTCTTACAGCATGCGAAAACAGCCAAAAGAAAGGCCAGCGCCTGAGGAATTGATGGTAAGTAAATTCTTTCACTTACATTAGACTTCTCCATTTATATAACTGCTTAACATTCTGTTAAAAGGACCAGAGTGGAATTTGAAATATTCACAGGCTCTGGAGAGGCAACCGTTTATACTTAATTTGAGTAGGTGTGTTTGAAGCTCCGATCCTCAGCTAGTACTTTTTACTTTTTAAAAGCCCACCACCATTTTGAAACTCAGTGCAGAGCTCTTTTCCTTTGCCTTCCACTCAAGGGTCATAAATTAATCTAGGCTCCGCCTCATCCTCATTTGCTGTGCCAGCCTCTCAGAACTCACAGGATTGGTCTCAGAGAAGACAGCGTATTGAGTTTTTAGTGCAACCCTACAGGAAATTTTGAATGTGGCCTAGAGTCCTCTTGGATTGATGTAGAATGAAATTAGATTGGCTGCAAAAGATCAAGTTAATGTGAACCTTTGGTCTTTCCTCAGAAGGACAACCCCAAGGCTGCTGGTGCTGTGTTCTCAGCTCCGAGACCGCTTTCTTTGATTGCAAATGACAGTTTTTAGTCAAGCAGGGAGAGGAACAGAGACACTCCCTAACAATTCCCAATTGGTCATTTATTTAGTGCAGATTGTTGAGTTGACAGTGCACAAGCTGTTTAAGTAACGTTAGAATTGAGCATTAGTAAGTAATAATTATAGCCTCTTTCTAATGCTTTGCGTACCATTCCCCGTCTTCAGATTGTTGCTGTCAGAGCAAATTTTCTTTCGCCACTTTCAACAATATGCAGTTTATAGATACTGGGACAGAGGTTTTCATCCTGTGTATTTCGTCCTAATAAACACTCTAAGCGCATAAACTTCTGTGTAATACAGGTTTCATCCCCAAACAAAATTACTGTCCTGTCCCCTTTGCATCGTGACTGCTTTCCAGGGAGGTAGCTTTCTCCTTCCCGTTACCCCTGAAGCAACATTTCATTTCTCAGGGTAGTTTCAAGTTAAAGAAAGTTCACCCTAAAACCTCTATGACTTGTAGCTATGCAGGTTTCATGTCTAGAATAAACTGGTCTTGGTGGGGTGGGGTGTCTCTTCGACGGTTGGGAAATTCTTGCAGTTAGTCACATTTAAGAAATCTTGGAGCAGGTTCTAGATATGGAGCCCATTTACCTTGTACATTATTATGCTATAGCTGGATAGGATAGGGTGGCCAATAGGGTTTCATAAAACAGATATGTTTGTAAATGCATGTTTCAGTGCTGCAATGAGTTGGCCACTTATAAATAAAACATCTGCAGCCCTAGCTGGTTTGGCTCACTGGATGGAGCATTGGCCTGGGGACTCAAGGGTCCCAGGTTCGATTCTGGTCAAGGGCATGTACCTTGGTTGCGGGCACATCCCCAGTAGGGGGTGTGCAGGAGGCAGCTGATCGATGTTTCTCTCTCATCAATGTTTCTAACTCTCTATCCCTCTCCCTTCCTCTCTGTAAAAAATCAATAATATATATATATATTTTTAAAATTTCTTAAAAAAAGAAAACATCTGCAGATGGTACATAGAGACATATGTGTTGGTAAGGAACACCACTCCAGGGTGTCATGTCATAAAGATAAAGTAAAGGTGGGTATGTTCAGTGTGTGTGTGTGTGTGTGTGTGTGTGTAGAGACACAAGGGATACATATTTCAATATATCTCTTTACAACTATACATCCTGGTGTGTGCTGTCCCACATTTCTTATTAATAAATATCAATAAATCAGTAAAACACAATGAAAAATTTAGTCACAGGAAGCACTATCCTATACTTAATTTAACATTATTTCTAGTGCTGCTCACAGTTTGATTTAAATGAATGGATTCCCTCAGGTATAGCAATAGTGAAGCTCCCCTGGCTTAGAAAGGGCTCAGTGAGGAGGCAGAAAACGAGTGTGTGTCAGGCTCCTGTGGTCCAGGGGATTGGGCCCTGCCTGCCTTTGGCCAAAATGTTGGGCTCATAGGGGATGGGAAAAAAAGTGGATGGTTCCTGGAACCTGAGTCACATCCTGGGGACCCAGTCTTAAAGAACCAGTTTCTTTATTCCTTCTAGCATATTAATGGCTTTAATTTTTCCTTTTCTCTCTCTGCCTGCAACCTATTTGATGATGCTCCCATCTGGAGCTGAGAGCCTCCTCTGGAATGCATGAACTGTAGAGCCCATTTGTCACTGTAGTTGGGGGCCTGCCTTTCACAAAAAGAGCAGTTTATTTCCCAAGCGCAGTCACTCCAGGCAGCAGGATGCCAACGTGGTCTGCACAGCTTGGGCCACATCAGCTGTGAGGCTGCAGGATTGTCAAGGTTTCCCTATGGGCCTGCATTTTCCAAATCAAAGGAAGAAAATCAGATGGTTTGGGTGAAAACACTGAGAGCTACAGATTCAACATCAGGGAGCTTCTAAATGACCTCTGGGGTGGCCCTGGCCACCCGTGGATGTAGCAAGTCCCAGCCTAAGTAAAGCTGCAGGGAGGTGTGGGCCTGTGCATAGTGGGTACTTAAGCAATTTTGGTCACTTACTGGGTGGGATCACCTTATATCCAGAATACCCAAGAAGTAAAGTCATCATCTTTGCAATTTTTAAAAAAAGTTTTATTGATTGATTAATGGATTTATTTTTTTTTAGAGAGGGAGGAGGTGGGGGAAGAGAGAGAAGGGAAACATCAACTTGCTGTTCCACCCATCCATGCATTCATTGGTTGATTCTTATATGTGCCCTGATAAAGGATCAAACCCACAACCTTAGTGTATCAGTACGATGCTCTAACCAACTGAGCTAGCCAACCAGGGTATCTTTGCAATTTTTGACCATGTCAGCCTTAAAGATGAAGTATACAACTCAAGTTTAGACTCTTGAGGCTATTAAAATTTCAGTGTTAGAACTAATTTAGTTGTTTAGCTGTTTAATTCTTTCTACACTCTGTGGTCGTTCCAAAGATAGTTTTTATGTTCTAAATGGAAATACTTGAACACTGGACCAAGAAATTTCCTCAACATTTTGGGTAGGCCGGGGTCTATGTGAACTGGTGCACTTTTCTGGCAGTAGCCATAGCTACATAAAGAACTTACTGAAAAGTTCCACATTAGGATCCACATCATCTGGAGAGCTCTCAGGACCAGTTAAACAATTGAATTCAGCAGATATGTATAGACCCTTACATGCAAAGTCCTGTGCCAGACTCAGCAGAAGATACCAAAGTAAACCACATGCATACAGTCTTGCAGGAGATGCGGAAATATACAAATGACTAGAGTAAAGTAACTGCCAGGAAGGACTCGGTGTTGTGGGGATCCATCTTGGGAAATGGGGAAAAGCTACATGGAGAAGGTAGCATTTGAAAGGGCCTTTGGAGGATGGATTAAACTTTAATAGAGAGTTTCAAGGGGACATTCCAGGCAAAGCATGCCTGTGTAGAGGCCCCAGACCTTTTCAGTGCAATGCAAAACCTCTGCTGCCTGCTGGACCAGAAATCCCTTCGGCATTGGCCTCGTGGAGTCCCACACCCACAAACGTGGAGCTCAGATGGGCCACATATTCACCCCCAGCTGTGCAGTCTGCTCAGAAATTCCATTTCTTACAGAAGGAACCCTAGTGTCCAGGCCTGAAACTGACACAGAAGCAGCGCACCCACCCACACATGCCTTGAGAGAGAAACATCGATCAGCTGCCTCCTGCACACCCCGTACTGGGGATGTGCCTGCAACCAAGGTACATACCCTTGACTGGAATCGAACCCGGGACCCCTCAGTCCGTAGGCCAATGCTCTATCCACTGAGCCACACCGGTCAGGTCTGAGTGAGTGCTCTTGAGTGGACTCCCATTCAATATGGGGACTCACCTTTAGACCCAACAAAGGAAAGCAGCTGCAGGCAGCCAAGAACATCGAGCACGCCGACAACCAGACAGGACCCCACATGCCCTCCTTCTGCTCCCGCGAAACCGATGCCAGCATGAAGGAGCACACGTTTAAATCACCCTGAAGTGTGTCGCAGGAAAGACCTCTGTCTGTGCTGCCCCAGCTCTGTGACCTGGCCCTGCAGACTTAGAGAAAAGTTCCCAGGCTGCAGCAACTCTGGAGGTGCAGACAGAATGTTCCACAGGCCTCAGACCAGCAAGCAGGGATGTCACGGCTCATGTAAAGGAAAAAACAGAAAATAGCTTCTGCTGGTCAGAGAGGATGGGTGAGGCTGCAACAAGAAAGGGGAGGACAATGATGCAGATTGTCCCAGAATGTCAGTAATCAGTCTGAGAAAGCAAAAAATTAAAAATCAGACCCTCAAACTCAGGGACAGAGACAGCCTAGATGGGAACACTGAGATGGAGAGGTCCGAGTCTGGTTTGCTATTCAAAGTATATGTTTAAATATTTTTTAATAAAAGGGATTTGATGAGAAACATTATGCTATAGGCAAGAGAACCCCTTCTGCAGAATTAATCTTCCTTTAGGGTCAGGCTGTGACTTAGCAGGGAAGGCCTCCACACTTCGCTTCCTTTAGCGACTCCTAGTTCCCTCCCCACTGAGTGTCTTCATCTGCAAAATGAAGGGGAGGACTAGACCAGCAGTCCCTGACCTAGGGTCTGGGACTTCAGGACGTCTGTGAGAGCCCCTGAAATGACCTCTCAAATCAGGCATGCATATGGGGATTTGCTGCCTTTTTTTTTTTTTTCTGAAAAGGGTTTCATGGTTGTCATCAGTTTTTCAAAGGGGACCATGACCCTGAATGATTGTTAAACTCCCTCACTACTTTCCCATTCTATTAGTTAGAGCTTTGTGGCCAGGACCAGAACAGCAGCTCTGAAGAGAGGCATTCACTGGGAGGGTAGTTGCTTGGTGTGGGGGAGGGAAAGAAAGATCTCTGTGGGACTGGGCAGGGCCTCCCACCAGCTGTCAGGAGGTCCTTTCACCTTCCAGCCCATCCTGACTATGGGTCCTGGCTTAGCAGGGAGGGGGTGGGCCGTGGACACCTCTGCAGTTACAGTTTGGGTGCAGAGTCCTATAGATCCTTC